GGGGCCTCGGGATCTCGACCTCAGGACGTGGGTCAACGCCAGCTTCGCGCTCACCTCCAACCTCTCCAGGTGCAGCCCGAGCCTCCGCTCCTCCCGGCCCCGCCCTTTTCTCGCGCGGGGCTCTGGTACCCGTTCTCTAAGCCCCGCCTCCGGCCCCTCTGATTGGCCCTCAGGCTCCCCTTCCGCCAGCGCTTGGCTCCGCCCCCCACGCTGGGCTCTCGGGAGCCTGGCTGTTTCTACCCGCTCCGCAGGGTTCGCCTGGAGCACAACGAGTCCGCCTGGGGGCGCCTGTGGCTGGAGGTCCCGGAGTCGGCTGCCCTGGACTCCGTGGTGACGGTGACTGTGGCTGCGATGGGCCGAGAAGCCAGACCAGTGCCCCCGACCCACGCCTTCCTCCGGCTCCTGGTGCTGGGCCCGGACCCGCAGGTGACGGCCCCCCTCTCCATCGCAGGGTAGGCAGGGCAAGGGGGGCTTAACTTGGGTGTAGACACCCAGACGGACTTCCCCTCTTCTCCCCAGGACCAGCTCGCTGTCCCTGCCCACTCGTCTGGCCCGGTCCTCACCAAGGCCAGCCCCACCCTTCCTCCCTCCCCTTTGGTGACTCGGGGCAGGGCGGGGGGAGGGCTGGCAGGCAACCCCTGGTGGGGCACAGTCGCCGGGGTGCTGCTCCTTCTAGGCCTGGCCTCCTGGTGACAGCAGCCCCTAAAGGATGGGCCTCCAGCGCTCTTTCCAATCCCTCCCGGTGGGTGAGAGATGGCGTGGGCCTCGGGACCCTACTCTCCCAGCGGGGCTGGAGGTTTTCCTTCTCATGCACTTGTCCCTTCTCTTAGCAAGATTGGGATAAAGGGTAATCGATTTTCCCACAATGCACTTTCCCTAACCCTCGTGGGAAGCAAACCTAAGACTGGGGTAAGAGGGTACTAGAAAGTGTTATTTATAGAATTGCTTTTATTTGAAATTCTGGAGAAGCTTCTATTTTATTTTTTGTACTTAAATTTGAAGGACAGTTTCAATAAACATGTCTTCTCCCCAGAGGGATTTCAAAGATCATGTGTGCACAGCATATAGGAGCGTGAGGGCATGGAACGCAGGAAGGGGAAATGGAGGCTTTCAGGAGCAGAGAAGGCGCTTCACGCCTGATGTGTGGACTGCAGTTGGCCCACCACCTGGAGCTCCTTCGCTGTGGAGTCAAGAGGCAGAATAGGAGGTTCTGTCCCAACTGAGGGGACTGAGGGGAGGCCTTAGACACTGGTAGGGCCCCTCCACCCTTGGGGAAGCCTGGCTGAGCCATCTCCTCTTTCTGCTGCATTGACAGCCCCTGGAGAGAGTTCTGGGCATCTGTGCTCGGCCCTCCTCCCTTGTGCCCTCCCGTTTACCTGCCGCTGCCACAAGCCCTGCTTCCTTGGCCTTCCCTTCCCGCCCTGGATGGCACAGGAACTGGCATGTTCAAAGACGTGGGGCGAACAGGGGGATATTCGATGTTCTCTGTTAAACCAGCGTTGACCCAAATCTCTCTACCCCAGCCTCTCAAAAGCCTCAGCTGAAAACAATAAACACCTTTCCCGGAGTCAGAGTCTCAAACAGATGTCACCTTTTGACTCTGGGCTAACTGCGGACTACCGGGCTCTGAGTGTGAATGTTAGAAAACTCCATAGGGGGAGCTGCAGGCTGACAGTGTGAGAACTCGAGGTCCATCTGCCACTCTCCTATCACCACAGGCCATGCTTTCCCATGTGGAGTCCCTCATCCCAGTACCCCTCCTGACAGGTGGGAAACCCAGTACTCTCCACTCCATCTCTTCAACAGGCCAGTACCTCCGTCCCCTCAAGTAGCACATCACCCTCTTTCCCTATTCTTTTTTTTTTTAAATATATTTTATTGATTTTTTACAGAGAGGAAAGGAGAGGGATAGAGAGTTAGAAACATCGATGAGAGAGAAACATCGATCAGCCGCCTCCTGCACACCCTCCACCGGGGATGTGCCCGCAACCCAGGTACATGCCCTTGACCGGAATCGAACCTCGGACCTTTCAGTCCGCAGGCCGACGCTCTATCCACTGAGCCAAACCGGTTACGGCCCCTATTCTTTTTTAAAGTTGTTTTGTTGTTGTTAACCCTCAGCCGAGGATATTTTTTCCATTGCTTTTTCAGAAAGAAGGGAGAGAGAGGGAAAGAGACAGAGGAGAGAGAAACATTGATGTAAGAGAGAGGCACATCGATTGGTTGCCTCCTGCACACGCCCCGACCAGGGCTAGGGATCGAACCTGCAACCCAGTATGTGCTCTTGACCAGGAATCAAACCTGCGGCCCTTCTGTGCATGGGTTGACATTCTAAATACTGAGCCACGCTGGCCAGGGCTCCCTATTTTTTTTTTTTTAATCCTCACCCGAGGATATTTTTCCATTGATTTTCAGAGAGAGTGGAAGAGAGAAGGAAAGACAGAGAGAAATATCGACGTGAGAGAAACACGATTGGTTGCGGGGAGGAGCCTGCAACCAAGGTACTTGCCCTTGATTGGAATCGAACCCGGGACCCTTTGGTCCGCAGGCCAACGCTCTATTCACTGAGCCACACCAGCTAGGGCACAGGGCTCCCTATTTTTTTTTATTTTTTTTATTTTTAGGACACAAAGTTTTTTGTAATTATTCTTTGGGGGAAAGGGACACCACACTTCCACTCAATTAAGAGAAACATTTTTATCAGCACAGAAGTCTTTTTTATTTTTATTTTTATTTTTTTAAAATATTTTATTGATTTTTTATAGAGAAGGGAGAGGGATAGAGAGTTAGAAACATCGATGAGAGAGATCGATCAGCTGCCTCCTGCACATCCCCTACTGGGGATGTGCCCGCAACCAAGGTACATGCCCTTGACCAGAATCGAACCTGGGACCCTTCAGTCTGCAGGCCGACGCTCTATCCACTGAGCTAAACCGGTTCGGCCTTTTTTATTTTTTTCCACTTATCATTCCATGAATTCATAGGGAATGGGCCCCAGCAGCTCAGGCTCGATTCCAATGGTTCTCACAAAGTGTGCTTCTCTGGGTGGAGCAGGCTGGCGCGTCAGGTGAGCCCAGGTACCTTTCTCTCTGGCTCCCGTCTTTTTCTGACCTCCCTATTCTTTATGAACCCTCCTCGTCCGTCCCTGACCCATTGGGGTGATGCAGTGGTGATCCAGTCCATCCCTCTGAATAGAATGCAGACCCACCTCCTCCAGTGCCAACAATGAATGCCACCCTAACACTTGGTGGTGGCATCCTGTCATTGCAATGCTCCTCCTAATTCATCATCTCTGGCCATTGTCTCCTTTCCAGGGCAGGGTCAGGCTGTGTCCACATGTGGTTCCTGTCCCCTTCCCCACACACCTGGGGCTGCCCCCCGCTCACCACAGGCCCCGCACCTAGCTGCTATTGCTGTGCCTCTCAGCGGGCCCTCAAACCAGGCCTGGCCGTGCTCCCGCAGCTCCAGCCCCTGCAGCCCCTGCAGAGGGCAGACTGTTCCTGCTCCAGAGCCTGCCTCCTCTGCAGCTGGAAAACGCAAGCAGCAGAGGCTTACTACACGTTAGGGCTCTGGGCCACGGCCTTTCCAGGAGCCCCTGCTTGGGTTCTGTCTGGTCACTGAATCAAGCCCAGACGGTCCACCAGGGCAAGGGGACGCAGTGGGGAAGACTTATGAGTCCCAAATTGAGTGGAAATGTAGAGGGCAGATCTGGGAAGAGGGGCTTCCCCTGGGGCCTCTTGGTGGACTAGTACTCACCCAGAGGAAGAAGCTTCAGGCCACTGGGTTTTTGTTTGTTTTTTTAATATATTTTTATTGGTTTTAGAGAGGAAGGGAGAGAGAGAGAGAGAAACATCAGTGATGAGAATCATTGATCAGCTGCCTCCTGCATGCCCCCTACTGGGGATCAAACCCGGGCATGCGCCCTTGACCAGAATCGAACCCAGGACCCTTCAGTCCGCAGACTGACGCTCTATCCACTGAACTCTATCCACTGAGCCAGACCAGCTAGGCCAGGCTGCTGGGTCTTGGTGGCTTGTCCCCAGCAGAACTGGAAGGGGCCTGCAGCAGGGGCAGGACCCTGGCTCCTCAGGACTCTGAGGTGGGAAGGGTGGAGCCACACCCACTGGCGACCAGGGCTGGCCCCTCCCCTCTCTCCCTGCTCCTTGCAGCCTCCTACCTAGTCTTTCAGCCTCAGAGCTCTTCCTGCTGTGTGTCTGAGGCTGGGAAAGACCTTCTCCCTTAGGCTCCTCTGTTCTGCAGGGTCTGAAGTCGGTTCTCATAAAGTCCCCCTGGGTAGAATCCCCCGTCTTCCCACAGAAATGTCACTGTCATTTTTTAAAAAATACATTTTATTGATTTTTTACAGAGAGGGAGAGGGACAGTGAGTTAGAAACATCGGATCAGCTGCCTCCTGCACACCCCCCACTGGGGATGTGCCCGCAACCAAGGTACATGCCCTTGACGGGAATCGAACCCGGGACCCTTCAGTCCACAGGCCAACGTTCTATCCACTGAGCCAAACCAGTTAGGGCAAGTAATATCGATTATTTTTTTAATATATTTTATTGATTTTTTAGAGAGGAAGGGAGAGGGATAGAGAGTTAGAAACATCGATCAGCTGCCTCCTGCACACCCCCCACTGGGGATGTGCCCACAACCAAGGTACATGCCCTTGACCGGAATCAAACCTGGGACCCTTGAGTCTGCAGGCTGACGCTCTATCCATTGAGCCAAACCGGTTCGGGCTGTCACTGTCATTTTTGATTGAATTAATTGAGCTGACATTGGTTAATAAAATTATGCAGGTGTCAGGTGTACAAGTCTATCATGCAACATCTGGGTATTGTATGTGTTCACCACCCCAATTCAAGTCTCCTTCCATCACCATTTATCCCCCCGCCCTCCTAATGAGGCAGGGCAGGTCCCTCTGTGGACTCCTACTTGGTGTTTCATCTCTTTTCTAGTCTCTTGCTTTGTTCTGGCTGGTCTAAGGAAACAACTTTCTCCAAAATAAACTTTATTCCTAATGTGAAACAAGATTTCTGGGGAAACTGAGAACTCTGGGTCTAAAGAAACAAAAAGGGCACGGTGGGAAGGGGAGGAGGGCCGACGAAGGACGCTCAGAGGATGGTGGTGGCTGCAGGGAGCACTTCCTGACGCATGAAAATGTCCAGGTCCAGGTTGGGATCTTCCAAATCCAGTTTCAGAAACTTATCTACTAATGTCTGGCAACTGAAGGGAGAGAGCACAGAGAGCCAAATGAGAGGATGGATAACTGATCCTGAGCAGGGGGGAGAGGTTGTGCAGAGGAAACCTGGACCTTGGAAATTTAGGGATTTCAGAAAGAAACTGGGAAACTGAGTCACTGAAAGGCAAAAAGGCCTTCTGAGTCCCTGAAGGGGAAAGAGCTGCAGAAGATGCTAGAACAGGACCCTGGGCTACCCACTCACTTTTCCATTTGCTTCTCCTTCAGCAGCTCCTTGAGAGGCTTGATGGGCTTACCACTGCGGATCAAGTCCGAGACCTAGGAACAAGAAGGAGGAGGCAGGGGTGGGGGAATTGGGTAAGAAAAGAGAAAATAAGGTCAGAAATGCCATGGGCCCAGGAACCCAGGCCCCGAGAGGAGCAGGAACAGTGGAAGGGAGCCCTGATGGATGGGGCTGACATGGATCTCATCACCTCCTTGCCACGAGCTATGAGCTTGTCAGGAAGCCTGGCTTGGGCAGCTGTGTGGGAGGCATGGCTGGCGTTGGCCACACCTTCGCAAACCCGATAGAAGAAGACAAGGTCATTCCCATCCTCACAGGTCTCCATGGTCTTAAAAAAGAATAAAAGGGGACAGTGTGTCATTGTCACTCAGCGTCCCACCCTGAAACCCATAGCCAATCCCTAAGGGGAGTGAGGACAGGGAAGGGACATGGTCCCTGTGTTCAGGGAGCCCCTGTTCTGAGGAAGGAGCCAGTCTCCAGCTCTGGGAGACACTTGGCTTAGGGACCCCGAGGGGACTAGATTAGTTCCCTCACCAAATACTGCACAAGGGGCCCCTGTGGCAACAAGGGTAGCTGAACGAGGCTCAGAAAGTTGGTGGCCACAAAGATGTGGGGGCATGTGGGTCCGAGAGCCAGCCAGTGTCGGAGGACAGCAGCCAGCAGTGCGAGCCCATCTACCTGTGCAGAGGACAGGGTAAGGGTGCAGAACCACGGGTGCCCCATGTCCCCCCACCTGCCCTGGCCTTTTCCATCTTGCACTCTTCTGTTTCTTTTCAGCCCCCACATCTATTCTTTTTCCTGAAGCCCAACTTCCCCTCCTGCTCCTTTGCCCTCCTCCATTTCTCCTTAGTTCCTCATCAGATTTCCCCTCACCGTGTTGGTTCCCTTTCCAAATTCATCAATAAGGACCAGAGACCGCTCGGTGGCATTGTTCACTGCTTTTGCCACCTGCTGGGTACCAGGTGGACAGAGAGTTGCATTAGCATCTGAGGCCTGTAATGCTGACCACAGTCTGCCATGAATAAAGCTGCTTGTGTCCACTCCAATGGACGGGGAAGTCTTTAATGGTGAGGTGCATGCTTTGTTCACCCTTTCATGGCCAACAATGCCACATACAAAGCCAGGATTCAAAAGAGGCTCCCTAGCTCTGGCCAGTGTTGTTCAGTGGTTAAAGCATTGGCCCTCACATTGAAGGGTCACGGGTTCGATTCCTGGTCAAGGGCATGTACCTGGGTTGCAGGTTCAATCCCATCCCTGGTTGGGGCACATGTGGAAGGCAACCAGTTCATGTGTCATGTTTCTCTATTTCTCTCCCCCGTGCTCCCTCCCTTCTATTCTAAAAATCAATGGAAAAAATATCCTTGGGTGAGGATTAACACCCCCCCCCAAAAAAAGAGGTTCCCTAGTGTAGAGGGCAGGCAGCAGAGGAAATGTTTTTCCTGATCATTTTTCAGGGGTAGAGTTCCTTCCCCATTTCCCCCCATCCCAATCCCACCTCTCTTTACTCCCTTTGACCTGGTTGAGGTCGATCATGAAAGTGGAGAGGCCAAGGGAGATGGATTCACAGCTATGAATACGGGTGAAGATGGCGTCTACTGCCCCGATTTCGGCTTCCTCTGCTGGCACAAAGCTGCCCACCAAGGCCATGAATGTGATCAAGCCCACCTAAGCAGGGAAGGGGACAGAGTCTGGGCCTGGTGGGATGGCTGAGGTGAAGGTGAGGCTACTGAGGGGTGAATGATAGATCAAGGAGAGAGGCACATAGTTTAATAGATGATCGTAGCCCCTTCCACTCAGTAGAGAGGGACAGGGAGTGGGCAGAGGCACACTGGGGGGTGGCATGGCCCTATTCAGAGGTAAGGGAAGGGAACTGAGGCCATGGAAAGCTCTATTAGGGCATGGCTCTCCCTCAAGTGAAAGTGAGGAACAGGGTGTGGGTTATAGTGTCTGCATGACAGGCAGGGTCAGAACACAGCAGGAGAAGAGCTGCAGGGACCGGGGTTGGCTAGCTGGTGGGGGAGGAGATGAAGATACCAGAGGCCAGTGTGTAGGAGTCTCCTACCTGTTTGAGGTATATGCTCTTCCCTGAAGAGTTGGGTCCAGTGATGACTCTGACCCTCCCTTTGTCCCCACCACATTCTGCGGAGTTGGGCACAAAGGTTCGGGCACAGAGTTCCATCAGAGGATGTCTGCAGTGGGTGGAGAGGTGCCTCACACATCGCCCAGATGGGTGGACCCCCAGAATATGGGGCTTTTAGGCCCCTCGTGTCTATGCCTCCACCCCCTTCTGTTCTCACCTGCCATTCTGGATTCGTACCCCAAAGAGCCGGGGAGAGTAGCGGGGCCTTGAGTAGCCATAGTCCCGGGCAGCACTGGCAAGAGCCAGCAGGACGTCCAGGCGGGAAGCAAGGTCCAACACCCGGGTCAAGACAGCCGCCCGAGCCAGCACCTGGCACTGCAGCTGGTACATCAGCAGGGTCTCCTGGTCTGATGGTAGGTGAGGGAGGAGCTGGGGGTCAGCTTTGGGGGGGGAATGAAGGAGAGACAAGCCAGCAGAGGGACCTGGAGACAGGCTTGCAGATACCGTGTGAGACGCCCAGAGGCGTTCAGAGAAGATGGAGAGTCAGAGTGAAGAGCGAGAGCAGGGAGAAAAGGAGCCTGTTGGAGTCATCTCGAATCCGCCCACTCCCAGCCTTTGGCTTCTCCTCACCACGGATGTCGCAGTGCAGGTCCCCCAGCAATGCGTCCAGCTCCTTGGTTCGAGCACTGCGATAGTGCAGCTTCTCCTCTGAGAGGAACTGGGTCAGAGGGTTCAAGCTGTGGGCTCTGCATCTCTTGGTCCTCATCCCCTCCCACATTTATAACCCCGTCTGCAGGCCCCCACCCGACTCCTTTCTCCTTCATCTCAGAGCTAATAAAGGTCAAAGTAAAACTACAGAAGAGAGGTCCCATATTGGGCAGTGCTGATAGGGCTAGGCCTCCGGACAGCTGCTGATTCATTTTCCTTATCACCTCCCTACAGAGGTCAAGGGTCTTACCATGAAGTCCAGTCCCTCGATCTCAAAGTCACTGGCCTCCACCATGGAAGGCAGGCGAGGAATAGAAAGAAGGAAGCCGATCTGGAGAGCATAAAGAGGAGATAAAGCAGAGCGTGATGTCCTGGGCACTTTCTCTCCCCAGATCCCGTGCTTCCCTCAGGGGCTAGAGCCACCACAAGGTGTTCATGTTCTTCAAACTTCTCCAGAAGTTTTTTTATCTACCAATGTGTCCTCCATACGCCTACTACCTCCAAAAGCCCCCAGAGGTCACACCCAGCCTCCTGCACTCACCAGAGGGATGTAGATGACGCTGCATGAAGGAATGCGGCAGTCCAGATTCTCCAGCTCCTTCCGAGCGACCTCAGTGAGGAAACTGGGAAGTCCCGCCAGCCTTCGTTTTTCTAGGAGGATATCGAGAGTAAGGTTCCTGCCCTGGTTGCCATGATTATCCCCAGTTGTAGTGGCCGAGTACCAAGGATGGCACCTCATCACTGTGCAGGCTTGTGTTTCAGGGCTCACAGGCCGATCCCCACCCAATACTCACTCTCATCAATTTCAGGATCTATGTTGGGGAGGACTGTGAAGCGATTTGCAGCAAGACTGCCCTCAAAGTCCACCTGAGGAGGCAAGAAGTCCAGTTGCTTATCGGCCAGCACCATCTCTCTGTCCTGTTGCTCACCTCTAGCTGGGCTCCAATTCCCCCTGCAGTCCCTGATTTAACCCTAGCCCTCCAAGCACATTTCCGATGTTCTGCCGCCTCCTTTCACCATTCCACTTGTTGGTCATTCAGCTGACCTCACTGTCTCCCAGGCTTCCCCATCTTCCACAGCGTATCTCCTGCCTCTAGTTCCCTTCTACTCACCACTTTGCCAATGAGGCTGGCGATGTGGTGCAAGTCATCAGAGAACTCTTGGGCAATGTCCCGGAAGAGCTGGATGGACTGGGGCAGGGAGCGACAGGCATCCCTCAGGCCCAGGGCACTGTACACAGTCTGTAGGAAAAATGGACAGAGGATGGTGGCCCTCAGCCAGCCCTGGCTGAGGAGAGGGGACAAGGATGGACTGAGAACAAAGATCAACAAGGAAAAACAATAACAAAGACAGAGCGATCTCAAAGGCAAAATGAAATAATGAGGGAGGAAATGTGCCAGGCACTGCACTAAACACTGAGGTAAAAAGACAACCAAAATATGGTCCCTGTCCACATGAGCTTACAGCCTAGGGGAGAAGATAATTTGTTTTATTTTTATTTATTTATTTTTAAATATATTTATTTATTTATTTAGTTAATTCTCACCAAGGACATTTTTTCCATTGTTTTTTAGAGAGAGTGGATGGGGGGGGGGGGGAGAGACAAACATTGATGTGAGAGAGACACATCAATTGGTTGCCTCCCGCACCACGACCAGGTATAGGATGGAATCTGCAACCCAGGTACATGCCCTTAACAGGGAATCGAAACTGCAACCCTTTGGTTTGCAGGCCAACACTCTAACCACTGAGTACACTGGCCAGGACTGTGTCTTTATTGTTGAAAATATTACAGATGTCCCCCTTTGACTCCCCATTGGCCACCTCCGCTCCACTTCCGCCTCCTCTCCAGGCCTTCACTGCACTTCACTGCACTTCACTGTGTCCATGGAATTTTTATTTATTTTTGAGAGAGAGGGAGGGGGAGAGAGAGAGAGAAACATCGATGATTTGTTGTTCCCACTTATGCATTCATTGGTTGATTCTTTTTTTTTTAAAATATATTTTATTGATTTTTTACAGAGAGGAAGGGAGAGGGATAGAGAGTTAGAAACATCGATGAGAGAGAAACATCGATCAGCTGCCTCCTGCATACCCCCTACTGGGGATGTGCCTGCAACCAAGGTACATGCCCTTGACCGGAATCGAACCTGGGACCCTTCAGTCCGCAGATCGACGCTCTATCCACTGAGCCAAAGCGGTTAGGACTCATTGGTTGATTCTTGTATGTGCCCTGACCAGGGATCAAACTCTTAACCTTGGCATATCAGGACACTAACCAACTGAGCTACCCGGCCAGGGCAAGACATTTTTAAAAAGAAAAGATTATTGCCCAGCTGGAGCATTGACCTATGAACCAGGAGGTCACGGTATGATTCCTGGTCAGGGCATTTCCCCAGGTTGGTCTCGATCCCCAGTATGAGGCATGCAGGAGGTACCCGATCAGTAATTCTCTCTCATCACTGATGTTTCTATCTCTGTCTTCCTCTTCCTTCCTCTCTGAAATAAACAAAAAAAATATTTTAAAAAATCTTAAAAAAGAAAAGATTATCTATAGGTGGCAAGAGGGGCAGAGATAGAAGCTAGAATTAGTTGATTATATCTTTGGGAGATTTGACTTTGGAACTATGTAAATATTTTACATAATCCTACAATTAAATTAAAATTTAAAAAGAAATTCCTAATAATTAAAAAAAAACAAAATGAAACAAAGGAACATAAATATGTATGTCCATATAGTGGCATAACCACACAGAGTGGAACTTTTCCAAGTGACTAAAATACAGTAATTTGTATATCCCGAGTGGGGACAAAAAGAACTGCCTCTTCTCTCCCCTCAAAAAAATCTTAACAGCCCTGGCCGGTTTGGCTCAGTGGATAGAGCATCGACCTGGGGACAGAAGGGTCCCGGGTTCAATTCCAGTCCAAGGGCACATGCCGGGTTTTGGGCTCGATCCTCAGTAGGGGGGGTGTGCAGGAGGCAGCCAATCAATAATTCTCTCTCATCACTGATGTTTTTATCTCTCTCTCCCTCTCCCCTTCTCTCTGAAATCAATACAAATACATTTTTTAAAAATCTACCAGAACTGTGTTTAAAGGACTCAGAAGCCAACTTCAAGAGGCTCCCATCAGCAAAAGATAGAATAATTTGAGCACGTATAAAGATTAAAAATGCAGTGGACTGAAGCATGTGTGTAAATCTATGAGTTCATAATGATACTAAAATAACAACAACAAAAAATTCATTGGCTCCCTGGGTGGATATTAGGGAACTATTTTATTAAGATGACAGCTGGCAAATAAAGGCAGAGACAAAAATCAAGCAACTTTCTGTGATATGAACTGTATCACTGGTTAACCAAAGAGCAGAAGAGAGGAAGGTTTTCTTTAAGGAGACGTTCTGGCTAATAAATAAAGAATGACAGAATTAAAATAACCACTTTGGACCCGGACGGTGTTGCTCAGTGGTTGAACGTTGACCCATGCACCAAGAAGTCGCTGGTTCCATTCCTGGTCCAGGCACATGCCTGGGGTTGCAGGCTCAATCCCCGGTGGGGGCAGTGCAGGAGGCAGCGGATCGATGTTTCTATCTATCGCTCCCCCTCCCTTCCACTCTCTAAAAATAAATGGAGGAAAAATATTCTTGGGTGAGGATTAACCAAACAATCAAAAATAAAAAAATATGTATATTTTTAAAAAAAGAAATTCTAGGAGACAGAAACATGTCAAAACCACTTAGGGAATATAATCAGCAAAATCCAGGCTAAGGGAAGCTCTATAGGACAAATGACTCAGATTCTTCAACAAATAACTTGTAAGGAGAATGAAAATGAGAGAGACAGAACAGAGAGGAGAGACAGAGACACAGAGAAAGACAGAGACAGAAAGAGAAGAAGGAACCCATAAAAGAGACTTAAAGAGACATCATCCCATTGCCATATGTTGAACATATTTGGTTCCTAATTAAACAAACTAATTTTGAAAATCATGACATTTAAGAGATGATTAGATATTTAGACATTAGTTGGTGATATTAAATAATTATGTTAATTTTAGGTAAGATAATGGTAGTTATTCTTTAAAAATTTTTTTGTAATCCTCTCTCAAGGTATTTTTTCCATTGATTTTTTTTTTTAGGAAAATCCCTTTTAAATTTTATTTTATTTATTTTTTAAATATACTTTATTGATTTTTTACAGAGAGGAAGGGAGAGGGATAGAGAGCTCGCGCAGTTCCACCGGCTTCCCAGGGGCCATCGCAGCCTCACAGGGACCGTCTCAGCCCCACTGGGACCGTTTCAGCCCCAGTGGGACCGTCTCAGCCTCACAGGGGCCGTCTCAGCCTCACTGGGACCGTCTCAGCCTCACAGGGACCGTTTCAGCCTCACTGGGGCTGTCTCAGCCTCACAGGGACCGTTTCAGCCTCACTGGGGCTGTCTCAGCCTCACTGGGGCCGTCTCAGCCTCACAGGGACCGTCTCAGCCCCACTGGGACCGTCTCAGCCTCACAGGGGCCGTCTCAGCCTCAGAGGGGACCATCGCAGCCATGCAGGGGGCGCCGCAGCCTCGCAGGGGGCGCCGCATTCCACGTTGGGGGTGAAGGTGCGAGTCAGAAGCTCCTCTTGCTGTCTCTCCTGCTGCTCCCTTGCATATCGCCGATGCTGGAAGTTTCTGAGAGCCGTCTGCAGGTGCTGGACATCATACTTTAACTGGTCAACACGAAGTTTGGCATTCTGTCTTTTGTTGGGAGGCTCCTTGCTGGACAAAATCTCCAGGCGTTCTAGCTGGCTGAATATCTGGTATGCTTGCTTGGGTTTCGTTTTCTACTAAGTGCACAAACTGCTTGTCTGCCGTCTCCCGGCGTCCCATGTGAGACTGGATCTGGTGGACCTGCTTGTGCATTTGTTGGTACAGTGGTTCCATGTCGCCTGCCCAGCTGGGTCTGGCTCCGGCTTCCTCCAAACCTGAGTCTGCTTCTTGAGTGTGTCCCTTATGAATGCGAGGAGTTGAAATCTGCAGTTTGTTGGGTTATGCTGCAAAAGCGCAGGTGGTTCCTTTTGTGCCTCTGGCACAGCTTGGGCGGGGATGTAAATTGAGTAGGGCGGGGTCTCAGGGAGTCCCCAGGGCAGAGCAAACAGCAATGGCGTCTCCGCAGCTTCTCGCCTCTCTGCAACTCCGCAACTCCACGTCCCCAAGTGCCGGTGCGCAGCTCCGCGAGAGAGCCACCCTCGCTTTCTGACCTGCTTCACGGCCATCCCGCCTCTCCCTGTAGGGGTTTGGGACCTCAGAATCCCGCCCCAAACAAGCTCAGTGGATTCGAGAGTCCAGTTGCAGCCCGCCTGGCGCGCAACTCCGTACCTCCGCTCTTGGCGCCTCTGCATATCCTACTCAGTCTCAATGCGCTTCTTTCTTTCCTTCCAGTTGTAGAGCTTCCACTGGGCCAGCTTTCCCATGGTTCTGAATGATAGCTGTTTGTCTTATAGTTGGTAGTTTCAATGTTGTTGTGGGAGGCAGCACGCACAGGTCTGTACCTTACGCCGCCATCTTGGTTCTCTCTAAATTTTATTTTTAAAATATGTTTTTATTTATTTTAGAGAGAGAGGAAGGAAGAGAGGGAGGGGGAGAGAAAGAGAGAGAGAGAAAGAGAGAGAGAGAGAGAGAGGGAGAGAAAGAGAAACATTGATGTGAGAGAGACACATCAATAGATTGCTTCCAACATGCACCACAATTGGGGCCTTGAATCAAACCTGCAACCCAGGCATGTGCCCTTGACCAGGAATTGAACTCGCAACCCTTCTGTGTGCTGGCCAACAATCCAACCACTAAGTCATACCAGTGTAGTTATTCATTTTTAAAAATAATTTTCTTTTAGAAATTATATTTAAACATTTATGGGTAAAATGATATGATGGCTGGGAATTGCTTCAAAATAATCCAGGAAGTGCAAAGTGGGAGAAGATAGATATACATGAAATAAGTGTTGAAGCTGCAAGGTGGATACATGAGGGTTCATTTTATTATTCTCTCTAATTTTTTTGGACAGCCCTGACCGGTGTGGCTCAGTTGGTTAGAGTGTTATCTCATGTACTGAAAGGTTGCTGGTTCGACTCTGAGTCAGGATACATACCTAGGTTGTAGGTTGGATCCCTGTGGGAGTGTGTATGGGAGGCAACCAATTGATGTTTCTCTCATACATCAATGTTTCTCTCTCCCTTTCTCTCTTACTTTCCCTTTCTCTAAAATCAGTATACACACACACACACACACACACACACACACACACACACACACGTCTGGTGAAGATTAAAAACAAAAAAATAATAAATATTTTGGACAATATCCACAATACAAGCTTAAAAATAGTGTTGGGATAAAGTTGGACAAGATAACCACAGTACAGAGTCTAGAACACAAGCTGAGGGGCTTAACCTGAACTTCTAGGATTCAAGAAGGTAGGTCCTACCTTGTAGAGAACCTGCCAGTCGCTGACCTTGGTGTGGGACAACTTCATGCGTTTCAGAATCAGCTAGTCAGATAAGGATAGTCAGACAGGGGACAACGACTGTTTGCCCTCTCCCACCCGAACGCCCTTCAGGAAGTGCAATGTCCTGGATCGGCCCTCAACCTCCCCACCTCCCTGCCCCCAACCCTGGGCTCACAGGCACGTTCTTGATGTGACCCAGCAACCGATGCAGCATCTGAGCCATGTCCAGATTCTGGGGTAGCAGGAAAAACTGGATGACATCCAGACGAGAATTTAGTTCCCCCAGGTCATGAGTTGGACGTGTGAACCACAGCCTGGAAGTGAAGGTTGGGGTGAGGAGACCTGAAATTACATCTGTGCTCATCATTGTCGTGATCTCAATTTGTGAAAATGTGTTTGCAGGTCCCTGATGATTGTGGCAATATGTATCTGTACTGGCAAGTACAGTGTTCTATCTATGCAGGGGTGTTTACATGCACCTACTGAACCTCTCTGGATATGACCAAAACTGTGTCTGTGTATCACAGTTTTGATGGATAGGACCATGTGTGTCATTCCATGTGGGTATGTTACAGAGCTTGTCAATATTTTAGAGGGAGGGTGGTGTGTTGAAGCATTTGTATGACAACAATCTAGCTTTCTTGGTGGCTGAGTAGGAGAGGATGAGTCAGAATGAGTTTGCATAGCTGTGAAAGTGTCTCTGGTATAATAGCACAGGCATTCATCTTTTCCTGTTCTTCCTGTTTAAGTATATAATTGTCCCATGTGTAATGATTTAATTCCTCAATTCACGATAATGGTCTTCTCTACAGAGAATAAAGGATTGGGGAGGGACATCTAAGGGGCTTCAATAACACTGTCTAATTTTTAGATTGACTGGTGGAAACACAGAAGTTTATAATATTATTATTAATATTTACACCTTTTGTGTATTAGGTATTTATTACTAATTAAGTTAGTGTACAGAAATAAATGTCTCATTTACGTTTATCCAATTCTGGGTGTCCCTATCTCCTTATGGCTATAAAGAGTGTGAGATTCTGTAAGGACCTATGAGCCCACAGATTCTTTTCTACATTAGAGCAAGCCATTATCCTATATAATAAAAGGCTAATATGCAAATTGTCCCTACGGGTGGGAGTTCAACCAACTGGAAGTTAGACGTGCGCTGACCAACAGGGGGCGACAGAGAACATGGCAGGCGTCAGCAACGTGGCGCTGGCAGCGGGTGGCAGTGGAGGTGCTACCAGCCTGATGGGTCCTGACAAAAGCAGGACTGTGGCGGATGGGGAGCAGGTGAGCGGGCAGTGCCAGGCCAAGGCGGGTGCGAAGAGAGGCCCGCTGGCTGGGCAGCTGGGAAGCCACTAGGGACCCCTACCCATGCATGAAATTTTGTGCACTGGGGCCTCTAGTCTATAATAAAAAGTGTAATAATGCTAATTTAGACTAGACGACCCTTCCCAGACAAAGCCAGGGACTGGCGAGGGAAGGCCAGGTTTCCAGGGTGCCAGAGGGAAGGCTCGTGGCCGGGCGGCCGGGGGGAAAGGAAGGCCTACTCCTTGGCTTGGAATTTCATGCAATAAGGTCTCTTAGTTTT